TTGAACTTTGCAACTCATGAACATGGTATAACCATCCCACCATTTATTTGTTTGCTTAATTTCAGCTATGTTGTTGTTTTTGAGATGGAGTTTCACTCTTGTTGTCCAGGCTGGAGTGCAATAGGGTAATCTTAGCTCATTGCAACCTCCGCCTTCCAGGTTCACAGGTTCAAGCAATTTTCCTGCCTCAGCCTCCCCAGTAGCTGGGAATACAGGCACGTGTCACCATGCCCAGCTAATTTTTGTATGTTTAGTAAAGACGTGGTTTCGTCATGTTGGCCAGGCTGGTCTCGAAATCCTGACCTCAGGTGATCCCCCTGCCTCGGATCTTGGCTTACTGCAGTATCTTGGCTCACTGCAACCTTCGCCTCCCAGGTTCAAGCGATTCTCCTGCCTAAGCCTCTCAAGTAGCTGGGATTACAGGCATGTGCCACCATGCCCAGCTAATTTTTATATTTTTGGTAGAGGCGGGGTTTCATCATGTTGGCCAGGCTGGTATCAAACTCCTGATCTCAAGTGATCCACCTGTTTCAGCCTCCTGAAGTGCTGGGATTGCAGGCGTGAGTGACTGCGCCCGGCCAAGGGGGACATTTAGATACTTGATTTTAACCCTTTCTTCATTTAGTATTTACACATAAATATCTTTCTAAATCCTGTTTTAGCTGCATCTCATACATTTCTATATGTTGTGCTTTATTTGGTTTGAAATATTTTCTGATTTCCCTTGTGATTTCTTTTTTATTGTTTAATTTCCAAATTTTTGAGACTCTTCTAGATAGCTTACTATTACTGATTTCTAATTTAATCCATTGTGATCAGAGAACGTGTTCTGTAAAGTTTTCAGTCTTTTGAAATGTATTGAGACTTACCTTATGCTTCAGCACATTATCTATATGGATGAATGTTCCATATATACTTGAAAAGAATATTTCACATACAGCTTTTGAATATACTGTTTATAAATGTCGATTAGAATAGGTAGTTAATAATGCTGTTAGGATCTTCTGTATCTTTACTGATTTTTTTTTAAAGATTGTTCAGTCAATTACGGGAGTAGGATACTAAAATCTTCATCTTTTTCTTCAGTCCTGTCAACTTTTCCTTTATGTATATTAAAATTCTCTTATTTAGGCCAGGCACAGTGGCTCATGCCTATAATCCCAGCACTTTGGGAAGCTGAGGTTGGTGGATCACTTGAGGTTAGGAGTATGAGACCAGCCTGGCCAATGTGGTGAAACCCTGTCTCTACTAAAAATACAAGAATTTGCTAGTTGTGGTGGCAGGTGCCTGTAATCCCAGCTACTTGGGAGGCTGAGGCAGGAGAATCACTTGAACTTGGGAGATGGAGATTGCGGTGAACCAAGATTGCTCCACTACACTCCAGCTTGGGCAACAGAGCAAGACTCCGTCTCAAAAAGAAAAAAAAGGCTGGGTGCCGTGGCTCATGCCTATAATCACAGCACTTTGGGAGGCCAAGGTGGGGTGGATCACCTAAGGTTGGGAGTTCGAGACCAGCCTGACCAACATGATTAAACCTTGTCTTTACTAAAAATACAAAAATAGCCTGGCATGAAGGTAGGCGCCTGTAATCCCAGCTACTCAGGAGGGTGTAGCAGGAGAATCACTTGTACTTGGGAGATGGAGGTTGCAGTGATCAACCTCCATGGACGTGGCTGATATCATGCCACTGCACTCCAGCCTGGATGACAGAATAAGACTCCGTCTCAAAACAAAAAAAAAGATTTTATTTAGCACATACACATTTACAGTAGTCATGGCTTCCTTATGTATTGAGCCTTTTTTTATCATCATGGAATCCTAAGTAGTAATCTTCCTTGTTTTGCAGTCTACTTTGTCTAATAGTAATATAGCCATTTCTTTTGCTGCTTTGCTTTAATTGAGGACTTTCTTCATATAGATTGTACTGGTTAGATAAATTTGTTTTCCATAAAATTCATCCAATAAGATGAAATGTTGATGTTTCATAATTGATCTTTAATTTTTTTTTTTTTGAGATGGAGTCATGCACTGTCACCCAGGCTGGAATGCGGTGGCATGATCTCGACTCACTGCGACCTCTGCCTCAGCCTCACTAGTAGCTGGGATTACAGGCTCCCGCCACCACGCCTGGCTAATTTTTTGTATTTTTAGTAGAGATGGTTTCACTGTGTTGGCCAGGCTGGTCTCAAATGTCTGACCTTGTGATCCACCCACCTCGGCTTCCCAAAGTGCTGGGATCCCAGGCATGAGCCACTGTGCCTGGCTGATCTTTAAAATTTTTTTTTAAAGTCTGAGTCCGGATAATCATAATTTGTTCCATTTGTAGAAAAACTCCAATTACGGTAAATGTCATCTTGGTTTTTTTGGAGCAAAGGCTGCCTACATTCCTCTTATGTTCAATTTTGTGGTATTTTGTTTCCGACAGAACAATAAACAAACTGAATGTTACCTGACCACAAAATTCAGAGCAACTCCAAGGCAAAGAAAAGTGGTTACTTCCAGTATTTTTTAGATTTTTTTCATGATTTTAAAAGTGGGGACAGAGTTGATTTGAATGTTATTAAGCACTGTTACTTGAACAATTGCTAGATCCTGGTATCTAGCAGTCATCCAGGAAAATGTGCCTTTCTAAATGTTTGTCTTAGTTCATTATTTCTCAGTGAATGCCTGTGGAGACATGAAAGAATCCTGTCTATAATAAGCAAAATATGCTTCGGGGGTGTGATAACTGGTTTTTCTGTTACACATGAGAAGAGTGGATATTTGTCTAAATCACATGGCTGTTCGGCTGCCCAGTTGTAAAAGCTAAGTTTTTCAGATAGGGTGTTCAAAAATTAGAACTAGTGCTAGCTTGTTAGCTTTTTGTTCTTTCTACCTGAAGTAGGATTTCTCTATATCAACACTCTTGGCATTTTGGTCTGGAATTTTTTTTTTCTGTTCTGTGCATTGTAGAATATCGAATGATTCGTCTTCATTGGTAAATGGCTGCCGTCCAGAGCCTCCTGAGTGTCACCTGGGTCCCCTGTTCAGCACTTCCTAGTTCTGGTCACCTCGAGGACCTGGCTTCAGCATGGTGGACTAGGTCTTTTCTGATTTGGTTGTGGACCTAGGGTGCGAGTTGCTAACATTTTGAATAACAACTTGAATGTGAGGGAGGAAATACACTCTAGTAATGAAAATGGGGGCTGTAACTTTTAGTCAGAAATATTCTTAGACTCTTCAGACTATTCTATTTTCAGGCTCTTCTTAAATGTCAGGCTTCTATTTGTTGGCTAACATGAGAGTGACTTAAAATATTCAGCCGTATTTATTTACTTATTTATATTTTGAGATGGAGTCTCACGCTCACCCAGGCTGGAGTGCCGTGGCACAATCTCGGCTCACTGCAACCTCCGCCTCCCAGGTTCAGGAAATTCTCCTGCCTCAGCCTCCCAAGTAGCTGGGATTATAGGCATTTGCCACTGCCCTTGGCTAATTTTTGTATTTTTAGTGGGTTTTTTTTTTTGTATTTTAGTTTCACCATGTTGACCAGGCTGGTCTGGAACTCCTGACCTCAGGCAATTTGCTCACCCAGGCCTCCCAAAGTGCTGGGATTATAGGCATGAGTGACCACGCCTGGCCTCAGCCATATTGATTTAAAACTACGCCAATACTACTGGGTATAACTACTCTTCAAACACAAAATGTTGAGCTTTCCATTATATGTGAAAAGTTGATAGAACAGAATTTGCCAGTTGAAAAAACAGTCCCACAGTTAGTTCTTTTTGGAGCCCCTGAGATGAAAATTTCTGGTGAATTGAATTATTCAACTGGGTGTGACCCCATGGGCCCACTGTGGTAAGTGGCATTCTCAAAAGAGGTCTGTCTAGAGGGCAGTGACAGCTGGCCTCAGACTTTGAGCCTGATTGCACTGTATTGGCATGATTTGTATTGGCGGAGCAGTCTTCATAAAGAAGAGCCTGCAATAAGACACAAGCCAAGAGAATGCTTGTCACCAGGTGAATGAAATGGAAAAGAGGGCTGGGTGTGGTAGCTCACATCTGTAATCCTAGCACTTTGGGAGGCCAAGGAGAGTGGATTACCTGAGGTCAGGAGTTTGAGACCAGCCTGGCCAACATGGTAAAACCCCGTCTCAACTAAAATTACAAAAATTAGCAAGGTGTGGTGGCGCGCAGCTGCAGTTCCAGCTACTTGGGAGACTGAGACAGGAGAATCACATGAACCCGGGAGGTGGAGGTTGCAGTGAGCTGAGATCGCGCCATTACATTCCAGCCTGGGCAACAAGAGGGAAACTCCATTTCAAAAAAAAAGAAAGATATCAAAAAAAAAAAAAAAAGTTATTAAAAATAAGAAGGAGGCTGGACGCAGTGGCTCATGCTTGTAATCTTAGCACTTTGGGTGGCTGAGGCGGGCAGATCATTTGAATGCAGGAGTTTGAGAGGGTATAGTGGCATGGACCTGTGGTCCCAGCTACTGAGGAGGCTAAGGTGGGAGGATCACCCGAGCCTGGAAGGTTGAGGCTCCAGTGAGACATGATTGCATCGCTGCATTCCAGTCTGGATGAGAGAGTGAGACTCTGTCTCAGAAAAAAAAAAAAAAAAGAAGGGGTGGGTCTCCTCTTGGAACTTTGAAATGCTCATTTTCAGATAGTATACCTATAAACTGAAGAATAAATCTTAATTATTAATCTTATTAATAAATTTAATCATAAGTTTTATTGTCTAATTATTTTTGTTAATATGTAAAATAAACTACCTAGTATTGTTTCAGGATCTTAGATGGGAAAAATTTTAACATATGTTCTAAGCTGTAAGAACCTTGATTTTTTTTAATGCAGCAATGAGGTATGCTTAACTTCAGTTTCTAATGGGAAATAAAACCTGATTAACTTGCTTGAAATACTTGTGGGTTTTAAAATTGTGATCCTTGATAATAAGTAACTCTAATTTTGAAGTTGACCTAAATTGTGAATGAGCTATCCATTTTTACCTACACAATAGTATTGAGCAAGTCAACAGCCTACGAGAGATCCAAGCACTGAGGCGCCTGAATCCACACCCAAACATTCTTACGTTGCATGAAGTGGTTTTGTAAGTATATTTGGAGCTTGAAAAGTTATCTAAATTTGATTGGTAGACATTTTGAATATCTGCTTTGTAGCTCAGAGAGTAACCATTTTCACTTCATCTTATACCACATCACATTTTTATGTGGGAAAATGTGCATTTGATTCTCTCTTTTTCTTTTTCTTTTTTTTTTTTGAGACAGAGTTTCACTCTTGTTACCCAGGCTGGAGTGCAATGGCGCGATCTCGGCTCACCGCAACCTCTGCCTCCTGGGTTCAGGCAATTCTCCTGCCTCAACCTCCTGAGTAGCTGGGATTACAGGCACGCGCCACCATGCCTAGCTAATGTTTTGTATTTTTAGTAGAGACGGGGTTTCACCATGTTGACCAGGATGGTCTCGATCTCTTGACCTCGTGATCCACCCGCCTCGGCCTCCCAAAGTGCTGGGATTACAGGCTTGAGCCACCGTGCCCGGCTTCTCTTTTTCTTTTTTTTTGAGATGGAGTCTCTCTCTGTCACTCAGGCTGGAGTGCAGTGGCGAGATTTGGCTCATTGCAAACTCCGCCTCCTGGTTTTAAGCAATCTCCTGCCTCAGCCTCCTGAGTAGCTGGGGTTACAGGTGCCAGACATTATGCCTGGCTAATTTTTGTATTTTTAGTAGAGATGGGGGTTTCACCATGTTAGCCAGGTTGGTCTCGGACTCCTGACCTCAGGTAATCTGCCCACCTCAGCCTCCAAAAGTGCTGGGATTACAGGCTTGAGCCACCACACCCAGCCAGCATCTGATTCTTAATGTGGAAATGCTTTCATTTAGGTGACCACACATCATAAAACCATCTGTCATGCAAATAGCCTTCCTGTAGCTCAGTTAGGCTGCTGAGGTCTTGAGTGTGAATTTTGGCCTACTGGGAAAGCACTGTTGTGTTATTTCAGGGATTGTACATTCTCACTCTGTCCTGCCAGTTGCCATTTCTGAACAGTCTCCTGTAGTCTTTCTTACTATAATTGATAACATTTTTGGGGATTTTTCACTTCTGTTCTAATTATAGAATAGTTTCCATAAAGTTTATCTATCAGTCAAGAAGGCAGAGCACAGCTTATCCCTCAGTGCCTGCCTGAGCCTGGGAAACCTTCTTCCTGGCAGCTTTGTGCTGCGCTTACAGACCCCGCTGAGCCAGAGAGCCAGGCTACAGGATTTTGGGACGCTGTGGACTAGAAGGGCACCACCACTCTGAGAGGGGGCACCTTGGTGTAGAAGCTTCGCTGTGCCTCTGAGGGAGGCTGGCCTGTAATATCTGCCAAGGAACTCCAGCGCTGCCAGTTAAAGTCTAGTAGATTTTAATCAGAGGATGGAACAGTTTTAAACTCAAAGGGAAATGTCTTTTTATAACTGTGTGACTTCCTGACCTGCAGCGTTCTTAGAAGTCAGTTTGGGCCAGGTCTAGAGACTGCAGTTCATATGTAATGGTCTCAACACTGCATGCACATCACGCGCTTTCCACACCCTTTACAAAGTGCTTCTGTCCAGAGTCTCACGTGGGGCTCCCAGCAACCAAGACCCCTTCCAGCCAGACTGGAGGTACCGAGAGTAGAGTCTGGGGATACAGGCTCCTGCTCATGACTCTGGGAACCCTTTAAGGGCCTGCTTGAACTCAGGAGAAGTTGGTGGCTCAGCCAGCAATCTCTGTCCCCATTCTGTGTCAGCATGGATATCACACACTTTGTAATGTGACTCGTTTTTCTCTTTTTCCCCTGACTGCTTTTTGGTTTTTACTCCTTCATTGTGATTTATCCCAATTACATGGAAGGAATCTAGCTAAATTAAAATTAAATTTGCAGTCATGGAGCATGAATTAATTTTTTCTTTCTTTTTTTTTTGTGACAGGGTCTCGAGACACTGTCACTTAGGCTGGAGTACAGTGGCACAAACTTGGCTTGTTGCAATCTCCACCTCCCAGGTTTAAGCAATTCTCCTGCCTCAGCCTCCTGAGTAGCTGTAACTACAGGCATGCCACCATGCCCAGCCAATTTTTGTATTTTTCATAGAGATGGAGTTTCACTTTGTTGGCCAGGCTGGTCTCAAACTCCTAACCTGAAGTGATCCACCACCTCAGCCTCCCACAGAGTGGGGTTACAGGCGTGAACCACTGCGCCTGGCCTCTTTTATTGTTTTGCTTGCCAACTCCCTAACCTTTTTCTTCTTTCTGCTGATAGTTAATTGTATATTTTGAAGATATATCTGTTTTCGACTTTTATTTATTTATTTATTTTATTTTATTTTTTTTAGAAACGGGGTCTCGCTATGTTGCCCAGGCTGGAGTGCAGTGGCTATTCACAGGCGCGATCCCACTACTGATCAGCAGGGGAGTTTTGACCTGCTCCGTTTCCAACCTGAGCCAGTTCACCCCTCCTTAGGCCACCTGGTGGTCCTCTGTTTCCGGGAGGTCACCATATCGATGCCGAACTTAGTGTGGACACCCGATCGGCATAGCGGACTCCTGGGCTCAAGCGATCCTCCCACCTCAGCCTCCTGAGTAGCTGGGACTACAGGCATGCACCACCACACCCGACTCGACTTTTACAATTTTGTTCAGAGTTGGGTTTTGCTGGTATTTTTATTAATTGTACCTGAAATACTGATTTAAAATCAAAGCCTTTACTGTTTTAGCGATTACACTGTAGTATTTCATGTGGTAGTGCCTTATGTTTACTAAAAATGTTTACAAGTGATTTAAATATTGGGTTATATTTTCTGATTAAGGCAAGAAAAATTATTTTTAAAACTTGCTTTCTTCTTCAGTGACAGAAAATCTGGTTCTCTTGCACTGATATGTGAACTTATGGACATGAATATTTATGAGCTAATACGAGGTACGTAGAGTAATTTGAAAGCTAATCTAAGGCCCTCTTTTAAGGCTTGTAATTCATATGTGCTTAGTTGTTCGCAACATCATGGGTCATCATAGTGCCATAGTTATATGTAATATGCTGTACAGCGCCACTTCACTCATGGGGAGGCATTTCCCTGATGGCTTGTCTACTCAGAACATGGCTGCAAACAAGAAAGGAAGCCCCAGGCCCTCTGGGTGTGCATGAGATCTGGGCGAGGATGGCGGGAGGCAGCAGGGGCAGCTGTGCTGCAGAGCACCCGCAGCCAGCCCTGCCATGGGCACATGCGCACAGGCCTGCTGGCTTGGAGTCCTCTCTGCTCCCCAGATCTGCTGTTGCTCAACATTCTGTTCTATGTCTCTAAGGCAGAGTTTTCCCTGTAAAATCGTCCCCTGCATGTGAGGGAAGCTCCTGCCATTTTCCAGGGCTCTCGTTCATTTCCTTTCTTCTGAACAATGAAGCACTGTTTAGGAGAGCATGTTTGCCTGAGATGACCTCGTCAGGGCTGGTGTGGGATACTTATAGAGGTCCCTGAGGGGAACAGGAGAAAAGGAGAGAGCTGGCTGGCCCACAGCAAGCAAAGCGTTCCTGGGGGTCTGACCTCTTGGTTGTGTTAGATGTCAGGACAAATGAACCTTGTATATCTCACTAAGAAAGCAACACAGCAAGTGCTACATTTACAAATCACATTATACCTAGAAGAGAAATAAAAAACAACTGCACCTACTGTCACGTGAGTGACTATGACTTGGAATTGAATTTTAGTGACAGCATCATAGATGATTTTGATGCTGTATTTCACAATTTGGGCCAAACTGAAGATGATGTGCTATGGGAAACTTGTAGATCAATAAACTATTTTTGTGACAAAGACACTGATGTTGAAGATAAATATGAAGAGTCCAAATAAAATTGTTTTTAGGAAGTTGGATAGTGGGAAAAAAGCATTATATCAATATTCATGTATTTTATATGTGACTTAAAATATGTGTGTGATGGTACAGTACTAACAAAATAAATAGCATAGGTAGGCAAGTCTCACTCTGTTGCCCAGGCTGGAGTGCAGTGGCACAACCCTGGCTCACTGCAACATCCGCCTCTTGGGTTCTAGCAATTCTCCTGCCTCAGCCTCCCAAGTAGCTGGGACTATAGGCACATGCTTCTACGTCCAGCTAATTTTTTGTATTTTAGTAGAGACAGGGTTTCACCATGTGGCCTCCCAAAGTGCTAGGATTATAGGCGTGAGCCACCATACCCAGCAGTAGGCAGGTTTTTCTGCATCCATAAAAGTTGATGTATATAAAACCGAGCACAGTGGCTCATGCCTGTAATCCTGGCACTTTAGGAGGCCAAGATACGTGGATCATTTAAGGTCAGAAGTTCAAGACCATCCTGACCAACATGGTGAAAACTTGTCTTTACTAAAAATACACACAAAAAATTAGCAGGGTGTTGTGTGTGCCTGTAGTCCCAGCTGCTCAGGAGGCTGAGGCAGGAGAATCGGTTGAACCCAGGAGGTGGAGGTTGCAGTGAGTCAAGATTGTGCCACTGGACTCTAGTCTGGGCAACAGAGCGAGACTCTGTCTCAAAAAATAAAAATAAAGGCTGGGTGTGGTGGCTCATGCCTATAATCCCAGCACTTTGGGAGGCTGAGGCAGATGGATTACTTGAGGTCAAGAGTTCAAGACCAGCCTGGCTGATCAGTGAAACCTTGTCTGTACCAAAAATGTGAAAAAGCTGGGCATGGTGGCATGTGACTGTAGTCCCATCTACTTGGGAGGCTGAGGCAGGAGAATCGCTTGAACCTGGGAGGCAGAGGTTGCAGTGAGCCAAGATTGTGCCATTGCACTCCAGATTATCCATTGAAGCGAGACTCTGTCTCAAGAAAAAATAAATACATAAATGAATAACGCAACAAGACGGGGCAATTTTCAGCAAGTTGCTGTGTGTTGGCTAGGCTGGTCTCAAACTCGAGACCTCAGGTGATCCACTCGCCTTGGCCTCACATATCAACAGTAATTAGGTGCCTCTATTCATGTAAGGCACTGAGCACCCGCTGTTGACGATGATAGTGATTTAGTGAAAACTGAATCAATCGCTAAGGCTTTCGCTACCAGAATGACCATTCCTATGACACAAATTGCCACTCTTAGGTTATTAGAATATTGAGGAGCACTATTAAACGCTAAAGAATGAGGTAATAATGAAATAAGGGAACGATCACACAGCCATTATTGAGTTGTGTACTTGTCTTTATGGCAGTGTGCACGGTCTGGCAAGAACTGGGAAGACAGAGAAGCAGCCTGTCAGAGGCGTGTTCTTGATATTGAAAGAGTATATAGCCTAGCGTCCACATAAAGTATATGAAAGTGATATAAGAGAAAAGGAATTGCTGGGGTAATTTTCTCTTTGTTGACCAGGTGTCAGATGAGGCAGAGATGGTGCGGGCTAGGAAAGTAAGGCTTTCCTGGAGGAGTGGTAGAATTAGACAGGTGTAGGAGAGGATGTCTCATTTGCGGTGACATGCCATGGGCTATTCCAGAGGCAGGGACACGGGGAACACAACAGACACAGTTCCCACCCATGTGGAGCTCACACTCGAGGAGAGAGAGGAAACAAGTGAAGAAATTATCAAGAATATCAGTTAACATGATCAAGAATTCCAGAGAGGGATAAGGCTGTCAGCGACTAAAACAGGCCAGTGTGTTAGAGAGTGGTAAGGTTTGAGTACTTCAGGCAAAGGGATAGCCAGTGCAAAGGCCCTGAGGCCACTGTGAGGGAAGAGACCCGTGTGGCTGGAGGACATGGAGGAGCGTTGTAGGAAATGGAGTAGGCAGCCACCAATGAGGCTGGTAGAGCGAGGGTAAGAATTTTCATTATTCTAAGTTCAGTGGGAAGACATTATCAGGTTTTAAGGCAGGGGAGAGGTCATTTTCAATTGGTGTTTAGACCAATGTTTCTAAAACTGTCGCAGAAGACCAGTTGTTTTATTTCTAATCTGTTGCAGACCAGAATTTTTCTTTTTTTTTTTTTGAGACGGAGTTTCACTCACGTTACCCAGGCTGGAGTGCAATGGCATGATCTCGGCTCACCGCAACCTCCGCCTCCTGGGTTCAGGCAATTCTCCTGCCTCAGCCTCCTGAGTAGCTGGGATTACAGGCACGCACCACCATGCCCAGCTAATTTTTTGTATTTTTAGTAGAGACGGGGTTTCACCATGTTGACCAGGATGGTCTCGATCTCTTGACCTCGTGATCCACCCGCCTCAGCCTCCCAAAGTGCTGGGATTACAGGCTTGAGCCACCGCGCCCGGCCCTTAGAATTTTTATAAAATACAGTAAAAATGAATGACCAGAAAAGGGAACAGGTGCTTAGACGTCACAAAATTACTATAAACGGTTCTAAGCAGTTATTCTGTAACAACCAGTCCCTGAAACCGGCATCAGTTTATGGACAGTGCTTTGAGTAGTGCCTTTTTAGAAGGAATTCTCCAGTTGCTATTTAAAGACTAAATGTGCTGGGAGTGGGTGTGTTGATTCTCCCTTTCAGCTGGAAACAACAGCATTCCCTGTTCTCTGATGAACTCCAGAGGGATGACTGTGATGCAGATAGGTTGCCAGAGTTGTTGGGAGGACTGAAGAAGCTGACTCTGGGCTTGGCTTCTTGGAAGTCGCTTCTCACAGCTGCTGCCCATGATCGAGCTGCTGCCCCTGCCGCTGGCAACACTGCAGAATAAAGGTGCTGCAGTCACCAGGCCTGGAACAGGGCCGCCTCTGCCAGGGGGAGGAGGCAGCCGTGACCTGTGCCCTCAGAATGGATGCCTTCCCTCTCTCATCTGCCCCTATGCCTGGGCCTGAAGCGTCTTTCCCAAGTGGTCCCATTTAGGCAGAGCCCAAGTCACATCTGGAACCCCCAGCTGCAAGGCAGCCTGAAGAACGTTGTTTGGACTTCCAGGCCTGCCGTGCTAGATGGGGGGGTTGGGATGGGTCCTGAGTAAGCCAGTCTGTGGGTGTGCCACGAAGGCAAGAGTGGTGTGGGAGCCTGGGGAAGGGACGGTGAAGGCGTTGTGTCCACCACTCACTTTGGAAGATTGTCCCTGCATTCTTTGGTGTGAGTTAGTAATTGGGGTGAATAGAGAATGGCTACGTCATCAGCAATCCTAGTTTGTGTATTTGGATGTCTGCGCTTATGGCTCTGGGCTCATGCCGTCTGCAGTGGGAAAACCTGGCTTGGAATTTAGGAAGAAAAACTGTAAAAGGTTAAGTATCCCTCATAATCTGACTACAGAGGCAGCTACTCTTTTACACAGCTGTATCTGATTCTGCTCTCTTTTTTAACTATTCCAGTTAAATTCATAGGACCAGGTGCAGTGGCTCATGCGTGTAGTCCCAACTCTTTGGGAGTCCAAGGCGGGAGGATTACTTGAGCACAGGAGTTCGAGACTAGCCTGGGCAACATAGTGAGACCCTGTCTGTACAAAAAAAGTTTTCTTTTAAATAGCCAGGTGTGGTGGCATACACCTGTAGATCCAGCTACTCAGGAGGCTGAGGTGGGAGGATGGCTGGAGGCTGCAGTGAGCTATGATTGCACCACTGCGCTTCAGCCTGGGCAACAGAATGAGACCTGGACACACACACAAAATTCATCTGCCTTAGTGAGTGGCTAGTCGTGGTTCTCTCCACCCTCGCTGGGAGGGGTGGTGCTGGGATGCCGTCATGATGCAGGCCACGTTGGCAGCTGTATTCCTTTAGTTAGTGCTGAGTTCAGGGAATGCCATGGTTTATCACTGTGTTCACTTATTTTTTAAAAATTGCTACTATTAAATATGACATTCCTTAGAGTCATCTTAACGAGACTATTTGGTAAAAAATAACTTGTAAAAATTACCTTGGTCAGGATAGCTACAGCCGATGAGGTAAATGCTGAGGTCACTGGCATTCAGTAAGGGGCACATGAGAAACTTCTGAGTGGCTTGTTAATTGTACTCTAGTTTACTTACTGTTTGAAAACAAAAATCTGATGGGAACCAGATACAGTCTTGGAGCGGAAAGTTCTGGAGAAGCTTTTGGAGAGTGGGTAGGCAGTGCCTTCCTTTGCAAGGGTGCGGTCTCCAGCTGTTCAGACCACTGAGCCCACACTATTGCCCTGACACCCCACTCTAGCAGTAACCCCTCCTTACCCCTAGGCTGTGAATAGGGATTTTCCAGGAGGAGACCTGAGAAAGCCAGGAAGGCCGGGCACCTGAGGAGGACTCTCACCTGGGACTGAAGGCATCCGAGAAGCACAGATTCCTGGCCACCATTCTCATTTGTGGCTCCATTAGGTCTAGGTTCAGGCCTTGCTTTTTTTTTTTTTTTTTTTTTTTTTTTTTTTTTTTTTTTTTTTTTTCCGAGATGGAGTCCCAGGCTGGAGTGCAGTGGTGTGATCTCAGCTCACTGCAACCTCTGCCGCCCAGGTTCAGGCGATCCTCCTGCCTCAGCTTCCCGAGTAGCTGGGATTACAGGTGCCTGCCACCACACCTGGCTAATTTTTATGGTTTTAGTAGAGATGGGGTTTCACCATCTTGGCCATGCTGGTCTTGAACTCCTGACCTCGTGATCCACCTGCCTTGGCCACCCAAAATGCTGGGACTACAGGCATGAGCCACCACACCTGGCCGAAATCTGCTTTTTAAAAGACTCCTAGGTGATTATGAAGATTGGATAGACTTTTCCTAAAAGATTCCATGTTTCCCAAGTTCAGATGACGCTAATGACAGTTTTATGATGTGAGTCAGATTTGAATGTGTTGACATGGCTGGGATGGGCATTCCTAGGATGGAACATCAGGAGGGTAAGTACTAAACAGGAGAGCTTTGGGAGCATCCAGAGAAGAGTGCACGTGTGACTTCCTCTCAGCATTCAATAAGCAAGAAGGCTGAGGTGGCGCATGGTTCTCGAAGTGAGGACCCGGGACTAGTAGCTGCATCTGGGCTCTTGTTAGGCCACTTATGGGGCCCCACTGCAGACGTCCTGAAGCAGAAATGTGGTGGTTGAAAACGAGGAGGGGCAGTCTGTGTCTTAGCAACCCACTCACAGGAGTCCAAGAACCCTTGTGGTGGAGAGGAATTGGTTGAAGGGTGTCTTGAGTGCCAGGCTAAGTCAGGGGGCAGTGAGACTGGGTTTGATGGCAAGACCCAGGAGCACCTGATGAGACAAACTTCCAGCAGCTCATCCTGCTGCATGTGTGAAGGGGAATGCAAAGTTGCCTTCTTTTCAGCTGTATGTAGATATTAATTGAATAAGATTCCAGAATTCCTCAAGCTTGAGAAAGCTGATAAAGGCCTTACTTTTGATTCTTTTGATTTTAATTCTGGAAAATTGATGATAAATTATGTGAAACAATAAAAAGATGATAATAGTACATGAAAAAGTTAATTGCAGCCGGGCACAGTGGCTCACACCTGTAATCCCAGCACTTTGGGAGGCTGAGGCAGGCAGATCACGAGGTCAGAAGTTCAAGACCAGCCTGGCCAACATGGTGAAACCCTGTGTCTACCAAAAATACAAAAATTAGCCAGGCGTGGTGGTGGGTGCCTGTAATCCCAGCTACTCGGGAGGCTGAGGTGGGAGAACCACTTGAACCCAGGAGGCGGAGGTTACAGTGAGCTGAGATCACGCTATTGTACTCCAGCCAGGGCAACAAGAGTGAAACTCCTCCAAAAAAAAGAAAGAAAAAGTTCATTGCACCTAGACATTTTACAATTTAAATTACTTTCTATTTATATGTTATAAACAGTTAAGTAGAGAAAAAGAATAATTTTAGTTTTCAAAATAAATTGCAAACTTAGGACCAAAAGGGTCAAATGCCATATGTGCTGATGGAGAGAGAAAGTGGATTTCCAAACTGTTAAGTGAACACGTCGTTGCGCAGATTTCAAACTTAATGACTTAAAACACACACTTTGAAAATTCAAATCAAGTAAAGTTGACATCTTCTGGAACAAGGGTAAACTGTGATGCCGGGTGTGTGGTATGAAGAGTCTTCAAACATAGTAGAAAGCCAAGGCACCAAGGCACAGCCAGTTCGGGCAGTGAGTGCAGGGCGGCCACAGGGCACTGCACCAGATGCACTAAATGGCCCCTCCTGTGGACTGGGAACTGAAAGCAGCTGAATGAACTTCTTGAAGTGTGATCTGTCCGCCTTTAAGGTGGAAATCTCCACATATACAGGAAAGCCTAGCGGAACACTGGGTTTACGAGTGACTCCGGACATTTTCATCGTCAACGTAGGCTGGCTGAGGCTGTCATACCATGCTACTCTGGTGACCATCGCTCAGTGCTATTCCCACTGAAACCACAGCACACACACTCTGAATGTTACAGAGCGGTGGCCAGTGTTGGAGGTGATGCACGTGCTAATTGCGCTGATTTCATCCTTACACATTGTATGTACGGATCAAAATAACACTCTGGATCCCATGAATAGGTACAATTACTACGTGTCCATTAAAAATAAAAAAAATACAATTCTGTCATTCTTTAATAACGTCTATTGATTGTTTCTTCATTTTTTAATTGGCAGTTTCCCAAACCTGCTTTACCCGTTTCAAAATTCAGAAAAACCATGTGTGCTGGAGCAGAGGTGGAGTCACTGTGCAGCTCACAGGGCTGGCTTGCCCGGTGCCTTCCAAAACAGGCCCTTTCGGTGTCTTCACCACCTTTTTATATTTTGATAAATTTGCAAAAATAAGATATTTCAACCTCTCCCACGTCATACTTCCCCTCTTTGAGAGTAACCATGGAACGCCTTGGATGTGTCTGGAATCTCGTTAGGGGGTGGCTGAGATATGTTTATGTGCTTTGCGTCTCTTCCATGTATTAATAGTTACATTATTGCTGGCCATCTCATTTTGGGATGTCTTCTAGGAATACTCTGAATGTGGTTAGTTCAAAGATTAAAGAGCATTCACTCCATAGAAAACTTGAAATATGAAATCTTATAGCTCAGATATGAAAGAAACTTAGCAGAAGTTTCCCCAAATTTGACAACAGTCTTAAAAATTACATGGTGTTCCTAATACCTAGTTGAGGATGTGAAAGAAACCTCTATAAACTGTCAAAAAGAAAAATAAAAAAGCAATTTTCCATTAAAAATATATGTGCTGTATAATTTTAAATGAGAGCATGCCAGTATA